GAACCGGGATAACTACTTGGCATCCTTTTTCTTGGTATTTTCAGCTAAGAGAAGCTTTCGATGTATTTGTTTATGCGTGCCTATTGCACGGTAGGGATGGGCAAATGGCTTAAGATTGAGGTCAGTCTGGGGGGGGGGGGTTCCCTGAATGGCAGAGAAAAACCCGTGGCGTTGATAATGCAGAAATGAAACCACACTTCTGTATGTTTCTACTACTATAATGACATCTCACGTCTCCTGACCTGTAATGGTGTCATGAAGTATTTTTGATACTTTTTTTTCCCATTCGTTATTCTGTATTTTACTGTATTGTATGATTACCATTCGTTTTACCCATTTGATGGAGTTGTGTTGTACGACAATCAGGGAACCGGAAAAAAGATGTATGCTTTTAAAACCAAAAAGGATGTATCATTGGACGGTTGGGACGTATTACTTTGGCTCGAGAAAACAATAAGACACAAGCAAAACTCCTCTCACAACGCAAATTGTCCTCACAACTAATCCGCTTCAATAAAAGAAAAAGGTATAAAAAACGTTCCTATCCTATGTTCATCCGTCGCAATCACATAGACTCCCCTCTTTGCTTCCCGTCCCGTCCCATCCCATTCTACCTGAGTAGTTTCATCAACACATCCGAGAGTTCATGGCATTAAATATCATCAGCAACACCACCAAAAATTCAATATCTGTGCTCCCCTTTTTATCCCCTCTTCAGCACGAGTTGTATCATTCTTCCTCCCCTTTCTCATCTCATCTGTGCTCCAGCTGCAATCAACGCTACTCCTCCACCCCTCGTCCCCGGTGTAGCGTCTCAAAAGTAAGAATTAAGATTGTACAAATAGTCGTTTCGCTGTGAAGAAGCATATAGGAGCTCCTCCTCATGCGGTTGGATACATAGTTCATAGTCTATGAAAGAATAGAAAATTACGCCTCGAGAGCCCTGGAAGTAATATGAGGCCCTTCCCCGTAGTTTAGAAGTCAGAAGTGATAAAATAAGAAAATTTGTAGATCGTTCATATTAAGGAAATTTGCAGTGTCTGTTTCGACGAGACGAAGTCGATTAGTGTTTGTTGGTCAGGGCAACACCCAGACCCACGCCCAGAGCGATGGCGAGAACGATGAGGAAGACGACGAGAGCGCACCACCACTTGAGACGACGAGTGCGGCGGGCGTGCTGGATACCTTGGCTGACTTGCTCGTTACCCTTCTCGATGTTCTGGACCGTGCTCTCGGCGTTGACCTCGGCGGCGACAACGACGTTCTCCTGCTGCTCGACCATGGAGGCGAGTTCCTGGAAGAGGATGGCGAGCTCGGACAGGGTCTGCTCGATGCGCTGCAGCTCGTTGTGGCGAGCGCGCACGTTGCCAAGGAGAGAAGCAGCGTGACCGGAGCGGTTGGTGCGAAGCTGCAAAAGTGGTCAGCACTAATCATACTTGTATATCCTTGCCAAACAAGCTACTGCTTGATTGTTGGGGGTAAAAGCGCGAAACAAGGCCAATTCTCTGGCAATGAAGCATTTTTTATGCGACAACATAGAAGGAATAACTCACAGCTGTCTGGAAAACACCCTCGTTGTTCCAATCGGCCTCTGTGGCCTGCTGCACCTCATCCTCCGATGCATCCGGGTTCACAATGCGATATTGTCTCGCAATCTGTTCTCGGTAACGCTGCTGGTAGTCGCGCTCAATGCTCTGGTACTTGTCGAGCTCAGACTTGAAAAATGTCTTGAGCGACTCTAACTGGGTCTTCTTGGTGGTGCGAGACGCATCTGTTGTCTTGAGGAGATCACGTTCCAGGCCCTTGATGCCGTCCTTGATGGCAGTGTTACGGACTTGCGTTTGTGCCACATAGTGCTCAAGCTGCTGGGTGGCCTCGGGGTCAGTAGTGCTGAGAGTGCGCTGGTGCAGCTGGCCGATGAAGTCGATCTCAGAGGTCAGCGACTTGATGTCGTTGCGAAGTTCTCCCACGCGGCTGAGGAAGTCTGCCTGCGACAGAGGCTGTCGCGATTGCTCCTGACCGTATCCATTGCTGGTCTGACCTTGGCCTTGGCTGTTGTAGTCCTGCATCTCGTAATTGTTGTACGGGCTTTCACTGGTGTTGGTGGCATATGGGTTGAGCTGCCCAGCGCATTTGCATTAGCATCTTCACTGCTCGTCCGGAAGTCCGCGGCCGTCGCAAGGCTCTACAAGGGCGGTTTGCTTACCTGACCATAACCACCGACATTGTGCCCGGCCTCTTGCGCAGGGCCCTGAGAATAGGGATTCTGTTGCCCTGACATGCTGAAGGAGTGTGCTGTCGGGGTTCTGTTTTTACAGGTGGAAGGAAGAGGCGGTGGTGATGATTCGACGAAGCAAGAGATTCGCTGGCGTTTGCAGCTACGTGCAGGTAATTGAAGACAGCGGGCGGAATCAACGGTAAGGCTTCGAGAAGATCACAAGCACAGTGCTCTAATTGGTGGGGGAGGCTTTGGCAGCGCAAAGTACAGAAACGAGCACGAGTAATTGGTAAACCGAAGCAGCCTCGGGTTGTGCGGAGGTGGAGGAAGATGGAGAAGGGAAGGGAAGGACGGCAATTTCTGTTTTTGCGAGGCCCCAAAGCGGAATATAGCAGAGGCACAACACTAACACTGTAGGCTAGGCGGTGCTGGCTGTGGTGTAGAAAACGAGTAGCGCCGAAAAAAATAAAGAAAAAAACTGTAGAGGGACCGGGGCCATGTAGCTGTGCCCAGCGCGTAGAGCAAGCAGGGATTGGCCAGTGACGTATTGAGACCCGTGGACGGCTAATTACTAAAACCCAATCTGGGAGAGCCGGGTTGAAGCCGATGGAAATCAAGCAATGCACAGCGAACTGAGACCATTTCTGCCAAGTTCTCGCTTCAATTCTTCGTCGCCAATTCCAGCGTCTTCGTCGTGCGGAACCGCGGAGCGAGCCTTTGTCAGCGCTGCGCCCAGTGGCCGCCGGTCGCCATTACGACGCCCACGGTTGAAATCATCCTGCCATCGGTTTGACAGCTCCACCCGAGGTGCTGTGCCTAATCCAGCAGCTGGCTGGCCCCATCGGGTCCCTGCGCCCGCCAATCGTCGCGCATCGAAGTCATGGCCGTGAACCATGCCTGTGGCCTTGGGCGTCGCCTTGCCGGGCTCATTGCGCGTCAGCTAGCGGAGCTAGTGGGATCGCCGAGCGAAGAAGAAGAGCCTCTGCTTTGGCGCATCCGGGTCTTGATGACGGGACATCGACAATGTGGGAAGACAAGAGAACTTCTCTGCCTACGCTGCAATTGCGCCAACTAGCGCTGGAGACGCCGGCTGAGTGAGTAATCCCGCCAGAGTAACCGTAAGATGCTCTGTCTGCAGGGTCATCTGATGGACAGGGATCCGTAGCTTCGTATTCTTACATGCCGCTGTACCTGATATGGAGCACGGTAGCGGTCATGGTTCTACTTTGTCTGGAATAGACTTGCTGCTAGGGCGAGCGGATAGTGGAGTGCAGCTCTCAACAGTAATTGGCCACGGGCAGTTCATAATTCGAGGACTCTCAGCGCTTTCATCTAATTCGTCGTGTAACTCTTGATACGGCACGACATTCACTTGAGATGCTCCCAGAAAGGCCAATTGATTGCGAGGACGTCGTACCTGGGCTAGTTAATTGCGCGACCCTGTTCACATATGTGTGCAGTCTTTCATCTTGAGAAAAGTTATCCAGCACCCCAATTGCAATATCCAGCACTTCAATAATATATGGGCTGCTACTGATGCTATTGATACGTGGACTAGGTGCCTTGGTGAGCGACAACTGTGGTGTTGGATATCTTTTCCCTTTATTATTACTAGTATGTACAGATAATTGCAAAATTCGTTATATACAATCGTCAATTCCATGGTGCTGCCTATTACCGCTGCGCACACATATCGGCCATCATGAGCCAATAGCACACTATGCCTTACGTCGCCATCGTGGCGAAGCTCCCTTAACATGGCGCTGACTGTGAATCAAAGTCCAGCCTCGCTGCTGCAGCCAAAGTCAAAATGGCCGCGTGTATCAGGATCTTGCGTATTAAAATCCGCCACAATCGGTAGCGCTAAAAATAGTTGTTCAACTCTGCCAACAACTGGATCCCTGGAACAGCGCCTCCATTTGCCAAGAGGAAGACGAAAAGGACGAGGCTGGATATCGGACGATCCGCTCAGAGATAATTCTTCTTCCTAGATGTTCGAGTATATTGCGACAAATGCCACTCAACGTCACCCTCTTTGTTCTCCAATGTACCTCCGCGAATTTCAAACACTCTCATTGTCATTCGGGGACCGACTTCGGACAGCTCAACGCTGTCGTAACCCGTCCGTACGAAAACGTGATGTCTGACCTCGATGCTATCGTCGATGTTCTTAAATGTGACCACTCGATTGCCAATCTTATTCTTGCTAGTAATTGGCTCTCTGGGAGGGAATAGATGCTTCAGCACCTTGACAACCCGCTCTCCCAAGCGAGTTGTAAAGCCGTCAAATATCAGGTGAGGGTATGCCTCTGATACGGTTCCTCGAATGCTACCAGGGATATCGTGGCGGAGAACAACGTTGTGCAGAGAGAATGAGACTGTCGGTCCGTGAGGTAAATGGGAAATTGTCAAGGCCGTGGGAGTACCGCGATGTTCGTGAAGTAGGAGCATGTCAGACAGGCCTGCGGACTGGGCAGACTTGACAAGATCTGGCAAGATGAGATTACCACGGTTCATTCGAATAGAAGTTGGTAGAAGAAGCCTGATTTCCTTTGCGAATGCTGATAACCTGGCCGAAGGATCGCGAGAGGTCGTTACGAGAACTCGAGGGTCGACGATGCCAGACAGCTGCGCATACTCGTCGTCCAGGTCCAGCTGCTCGTTTGTGGTAAGATCGCGTGATTCATCATATTGATAATCTTTCCTCAAGGATTTATCGTTGGCGATTTCTGGGTCCAATGGTTTTCCTGAAGCGAGTGAGGCTCTCAGCTTAGCTCTCTTCTCACTGATTTCGGCATCTCGAAGTAAAAGGGCTCGTCGATAGAGATAATCACGCCTTTGGCGTGCTTGTTTGCGCTGTGAAGTGTAATTAGCGACGGCAATATCTCCGCGTACTCATTTTAAGCCAACGTACAATCATCTTTGCTCAAATGTGTAAATAACTTCCCTCCATCGAAGCTGGCGCAGAGGCAGTCGAAAAAAAGTTTGGGCTTATCAGTTTTGCCGGAATTTCGGGTCTTATCGATAACGCGCCACCGAGCCTTAGGCCTATCACGTGGGCGCAAATTGTCCCACCACTACACCACCGCCTAGGATTCTCGGGTGCGCCAGGGTGTTGATAGATTCCGACTGTCGAGTGCAGAAAAACGCTTTCTGCCAAAGAACCTTCCGAGCGACAATCTTCTGCAAAAGCCAGGCTCGAGGCTTGAATTCTAGCTCTTCGTGTTGATTCTTCCCTTATTTACCCCTATTCCTGCGTCCGCGACGATGATGTGAGGCCGGTCGACGACATTATTGAATCCCTTCCCTTTGACCATTTCGCGCCGAAGCTTGTCGCACGAGGTTTCTCGAAACCACAAAATATACTTCAAAGGTACACAGCAATCCCTCGTATCTGATTTTAGGATACGGATCCCAGACAACTTGTCTGGGCCATCTTGCACTTAGTCCCTCTCTGCTTTCGTCATTCTCACTGCCCCTCTACCGTGAAGCTGACATATCGCCATCAAAAGCACCGTCTGGCGCACTCGCCCCAGACACCTAATCAACATGGAGGGAGCCTTCACCCATGTTGGTAACCACCTTATTTCCGACTCAGCTGCCGCCATAAAGGCCGGCGCTGACGACTTGTCGACGATCGATCCCGACGAGGCTCTGCTCTACGGCAAATATGGCGGCCAAAGTGGCCGACGCCGAGCCGATGACGACGATAACCAAACGGAGGCCTTCGAAGAGGATGATAACGACAGCCTCAATAGCGTCCCCGTTGATCAAATGATGGGCATGAAGCTGAAACACCCTGAGGAGGAGAAAGAGCTCCCGGCTCATGCATGCGCGTGAGCATCGCCAATTATATTTCACGCTGGTTATATAAGCTAACGCGCTGTACAGATACTGCGGCATTCACTCTCCGGCTTGTGTCGTCAAATGCCTTACGTGCAACAAATGGTTTTGCAGTGCCCGCGGCAGTGGCTCGTCAACCCATATCGTCAACCATCTCGTTCGCGCACGCCACAAGGAAGTGCAGCTACACCCCGAATCGACTCTCGGCGATACCATTCTGGAATGCTACAACTGTGGAACAAAGAATGCCTTCATTCTCGGATTTATCCCTGCGAAATCTGATGCCGTGGTCGTCCTGCTATGCCGTCAGCCCTGCGCCTCCGTCTCTTCGAATAAAGACATGAGTTGGGACACCTCGCGATGGGAGCCCCTCATCGAGGAGCGAGCATTTTTGCCGTGGCTTGTGAACCCCCCGTCCGACGCTGAACAGCTGCGCGCCCGCCACCTCACGATCAACACGATTGCCAAACTCGAAGAAATGTGGAAGCAGGAGCCAGACGCAACGATTCAAGATTTGGAAAAGGCTTCCAATATTGATGACGAGCCTCTTCCCGTTCAGTTGACGTATGATGATCCCTACCATTATCAGAATATCTTTGGGCCACTCGTCAAGATGGAGTCCGACTACGATAAGAAGCTCAAGGAAGCGCAGTCGGAAGATGGCCTAACTGTTCGCTGGGATTATGCTCTCAATAACAAGCACATTGCTAGCTTTAACCTACAAAAGATTGAATCCGGAGATGTCAAACTCGCAGTCGGCGACGAAATGCGACTACGATACACTGGCGAGCTTCGAGAACCCTGGGAAGGAGTTGGATACGTCATCAAGATCCCAAACAGCCAATCTGACGAAGTCTGCCTCGAGCTGCGCAAGACGGGCAACGACAAGCTTGTCCCCATCGATCTCTCTCACAACTTTTCGGCCGATTACGTTTGGAAGGCTACCTCGTACGATCGTATGCAGCTGGCTATGAAGACTTTTGCCGTCGACGACATGAGCGTTTCGGGATACATCTTCCACATCCTGCTTGGCCATATTTGCCAGCCACCCCCCATGAAGGTTACGCTACCAAAGAAGTGGTCTGCTCCCGGGCTACCTGATTTGAATCAAGGCCAGGTGGACGCTATCAAGGCTGTTCTTCAGAGGCCTCTCAGTCTGATCCAGGGACCTCCTGGTACAGGAAAGACGGTTACATCAGCTACTATCATCTACCACCTTGCCAAGACGAGCGGTAGCCAGGTTCTGGTGTGTGCTCCATCCAACGTTGCTGTGGACCAGCTCTGTGAACGTATTCACCGTACAGGCCTCAAAGTGGTTCGGCTTACGGCCAAGTCGCGTGAAGATGTCGAGTCATCTGTCACTTTCCTCGCCTTACACGAGCAGGTTCGCATGTCCGAGCACAATACCGAGCTCGTGAAGCTGTCCCAGTTGAAGAATGAAGTCGGCGAACTTTCAAGCCAGGACGAGAAGAAGTTGAGACAGCTGACCAAGGCCGCCGAGCGAGAGATTTTGAGCAACGCGGATGTCATCTGCTGTACTTGTGTCGGTGCAGGCGATCCACGACTGTCGAAGATGAAATTCCGAAACGTCCTCATTGACGAATCTACCCAGTCTGCTGAGCCTGAATGTATGATTCCTCTTGTGCTCGGATGCAAGCAAGTCGTTCTGGTCGGAGATCATAAACAGCTTGGCCCGGTGATTATGAACAAGAAGGCGGCCAAGGCCGGTCTCAACAGGTCTCTGTTTGAGCGACTCATCAACTTGAAGATCAACCCGATCCCGCTAAAGACACAGTACCGAATGCACCCATGCCTTTCAGAGTTCCCGTCCAACATGTTCTACGATGGTACTCTTCAGAACGGCATCACCCACGAGCAGCGAGTTCGAAAAGATGTTGATTTCCCTTGGCCTGTAACAGAGATGCCCATGATGTTCTGGTCCAATATTGGCCACGAAGAAATTTCAACCTCTGGCACTTCGTACCTCAACCGAACAGAGGCCTCGAATGTGGAGAAGACTGTAACGCGGTTCTTCAAGGCCGGCGTGAGGCCATCTGAAATTGGAGTCATTACACCGTATGAGGGCCAGCGAAGCTACATTGTTTCCACTATGCAGAACTCTGGCACATACAAGAAGGAAATGTACAAAGATGTGGAGGTGGCCTCTGTTGACGCATTCCAGGGTCGTGAGAAGGACTTTATTGTCTTATCCTGTGTTCGTTCCAACGACAACCAAGGCATTGGATTCTTGTCGGACCCTCGCCGTCTTAATGTTGCCCTTACCCGAGCCAAGTATGGTCTTGTCATTCTCGGAAACCCCAAGGTGCTCTCCAAACATGAGCTCTGGCATAACCTCCTTGCTCATTTCAAGGATCGCAAGTGCTTTGTCGAAGGTCCTCTTACCAACCTACAGGCCTGTCTGCTACAGTTTAGCCGCCCCAGAGTAAGCTATCGACAGAGGAGCAGCCAACCGTCTCAGTACCCCGGCGCCAGGCAGTCAAATGGCAAATTCAATGGCGGCCCTCCTGGCCGTGACTTTGACGCTGGCTCCATGGTTTCCTACATTCCGGACGACGTTTCTTCAATCCAGGGCTCAGCTTTTGGAGGCGCAGCGCTCAATACGGCTTTCCCACCCATGTTTTCCAGCTTTGCTCCCGAGCAGTGGCCGGGACTACCTGGAGTATCGGCACCGGGACGAGGACATAAGAGTCGCAACCGAGCGCCTGAGAGCATTGCTGGAGAGAGCGTGGCTAATTCTGAGCTTACCGATGCCTCGACTAGCGTCATTGGTGCCAAGGGAATTGGCCAAGGCGGCGTAAGCCTGGGAGCCGGATTACACGACGTTGTGACGGGAATGCGAGCAGTTTCCTACAGCCAGAGCGATCGACTGAAACAGTACGTGGAAAGCAACGGTCGTATGACTCTGGGCAGTGGCTACGGTCGACGTTATGACGACGACGAGAAGAGTATCAGCACTGCGTTTCACAGCCAAATCGGCGGAGGCTACGACTGAGCGACACGCACAGGGCTGTAACAGCAAATAATGACATTTAGGATACACCCTAAACGCTCCACAGTAACCATCAAACTCACCCAAACGTGATGGCTACAACAGCCGCTCCGTCGAAACGATCGTGGAGAAGGCGAAAAGTCCAACAGACTATGGTTATCGCCATCACTTCGAGCCTGGCGATTCGGCTTATTGCTGCGGAAACGTATTGTAGCGTCACAGCTAATCACCGTCGAGATGAGCGGAGTTTGTGGTCAGAGCTAGCGAGACAACCTGTCCAACCCTAGTCATCTGAGTTAGCGATGAGTAGTGTGGAAGCTGCTCTTTCAAGATTATGATAGTAGGCAGTGGAGAAGGTAGAAGCCTGTGGTGGAACGGTCGAAATTCTTATTTTTCTTCGTTGTGGGATAGTAAAGAGATAGTGGAGGCGGGTAGCTGGGGTACGGGGCGATTTGGCAACGCGCTTCTTACCAAGAGGATGCTGCCGAGATGAGTCCTTGGACAAGCTCTCCAGCTGGTGACCTGGACCTTGAGAAGATGTGAGGTATTTTTGGCAGCCAACTATAGTCGATCATTTATAATTAGTTGATAATAAATCAGTCGCTCTTTAAAACACAAATATTGCTAGCCAAGATAATTATCAGTAGAATTCCTATATGTGAATAATATTCGCTGCGGTTTGACAAGGTTAAACGAAGCTGTCAACGGTTAGGGCAACACTCTTCACACAATGGTCTAAGACAAGGGCACTCATGCGGCAATGACTTTAATTGTCAGGTATCAATTCTTGGCTTATTTTATTGACCTGGAAATGGTGCTGGACAAGGAGTATAGTACAGGTTCTGCTTGAGGATACTATTTGCTTTATGAGAACTCGCGAGTTTTAGAGCTGAAATGTTGCAATCATACGCATGTAAGTGTAGGCATGCATTCATATAACGAAACAGGCACATACGAAAACTCCCCTACCAATAACAGCTTTTTCTGCTAACCACTTTAACTGCACTCATGACGAAACAGACCATAAAATCGTCCACAAGCATTAGTGCGTTGAAACTCTCTGACTAAAGCCATGGGCAGATAATAGATTCGGCCTTTGTCCGTATCATGTTTAAGGTAGACTAACTACTTTATCTTTACCTCTCCTATCACTAGATGTCATACACTAGCTAATATCATTCAGTAATAAATAGGTAGTGACTCCATCGAGGCGCCCTTTATCATTTAATCACTCCATATAGCTGTTTTCATAGCTCTTATAGAAGGAGTTGCGAACACGATAGGGCGTAGTTGGGTTTAAGGTCCCACATTCTATTGCGCCGGGATTTCACAATGCCGTCGTAGTACAGCAAGGCCTCTCGTACCACTGAGCCCAACCAAGTAGAAGTAAACCACAATCAATAAACTAGGGATGCTAGGTAGTAGCAGAAGTAGCAGAAGTAGCAGAAGTAGCAGAAGTAGCAGAAGTAGCAGAAGTAGCAGAAGTAGCAGAAGTAGCAGAAGTAGCAGAAGTAGCAGAAGTAGCAGAAGTAGCAGAAGTAGCAGAAGT